CCCTACAAAATTTCTTCTGCCATAATTCCTTCTCGCATAAGCATGGCGGGGCACGGGGGGGGGCACCGAGCTTGTAAATGACTTCGGGCTCCACAGATGAAACATAACCTAACGTTCCTTACGGTGCGCATACCCGAATTACTGGGTTCGGGAAATTCGGACCCATGAACCACTCCGTTGATCATTTCCATATGCGCCATTTGTCTACTTCGCGGGGGTCTGGTTGCGATCCTGGATATAGACGATTTCCCTCCGCATCGACCCTGCCCTGGAAGATACTAACCCGAATAGTGATATTCTCCCAATATATGCATTCGTGGATACCCGGCATTCTAAACCTCATTAAAAAAGAAAGGTATAAAAAAAAATATATAATGTACTTCTTTTTTCTTTTAACAATTTCTTAAATACAAAGAAAAATATTTTTTTTACAACTAAAATTTATGGAAAATAATTAATAATTTCTTTTATGACCGAATTTTAAATTATAAAATTTTGGATACTCGTTCCTTTTTATCCTTTCCAATGAACTCTTCCAAAACATGTTTATCTGTTCTCCTCTCCAACTGTCATCACCCATTTATTCCCTTTCCAACAAGACACGATCTTGTACCAATTTTTATTCATTTCCATGATTTATTAACGTTCTCTCATACCAATTTGTTTGACAATTCAATATGAACTATTATTTGGGCACCACCACATAACTTTTTTTTTTATATCATAAGTTATCTGATTTATGATGGTTAATGAGCCAATAATGCTATTAATTCTCTTCAAAAAAAAATGAGCGAGGGAAACAGAAAAAATTTATCAATTGCCTTTATTAATCATATGATTGGGACATCTCTTCAAAAAATAATAAGCGAGGGAAATAAAAAAAAATTTTAGCAATCGTATTTATTAAGTTCTTTTTTTTTAATTGGAACATTATTACACTGCTACTTTAAGATACATACTATCCCAAAATGGGATTTTCAACAATGTTATATATTATATCAATGAATCTATGATTAATTTTGGATATAGGATTAAACAATCTTATATGTTACATTAATGAATCTATTATTAATTCTGAATATATAAATTTTGATATTAAAAAAAACGTTACATAATATATATATAGATATTTCACGGTGTTATTACATAGACAAATACATTTCTTTTAATTTCTTATAATATGCCATATAATATCATTCCGCCTCAAACACCTGATCGTAATCTTCCTGGCTCCAGACCCCTTTTTATTTGGTCCCTATGCCTTATTCCTTCTATTTCATCAGTGAATTTTACTCGACTTAATTTATGTCCAATGTTTTCCACGATCACCCCAGACTCCCACCTTCTTGTACCTCCATATATTCTTGCCCACACGGTTTGTCCCACTACAAATTCAGGTTTCTCCACTATCTCCCTCTCCACCTCTTGATGTGGTTTTGGCTTTAATGAATCTAATAATATCCTGGTTCGCCGCCCTAAAATCTTCTCTGCTGGAGACTGTTCTTCTCCCTTTCGACTGTTGTTATAATAGTCTACGGCTATCCAAATTTTCCCACCTCCATACTTTGATTTTCTTAACCAGCTCTTAACAAGTGCCATTTTTTCTGCCTGGCCGTTTGAGCTTGGATGGTATGGCGGTGTTAAAACGTGTCTCGCCCCTGTTTCCTCACAAAATAACTTGAATTGACCACTTATGAAGGCCGGACCCCCATCCGAAACTATTATATTAGCTACTCCAAACCGGGCCCAAAGTTTTTTTAACATTTTTATCACGACTTGGGTTGTCAATTCCCTCATTTCTTCGTACTCTACCCATTTGGAAAAGCAACCACCAGGAGATACATCTTGTTTTCAAAGTCGAGAAAATCTAAATGGATTCTCTCCCAAGGTCGAACCGCTTTCGGCCATACGCTTCTCTTGTCTTTACGGGGCATACTGGCCCACGAATTACACATCAAACAACCTCGGCAAATATTTTCAGTTTCCTTATTCATGCCAGGCCACCACACATATTCACGCCCCCCTTGCTTCATTCGTTCAATCCTTTGATGTCCTGCGTGTATCATAGATATTGCGCCTCTTAATTTCATTGGTACTACTCGTCGGTTTCCTCGGACCAGACATTCATCCCCTATGGCAAGCTCTTTTTCTGTGCACTTAAAATGATTATCTCCCTCTCTACACGGTCTCTTTCCCATAACGCTCCTTTTAATTCTCATGAGTTCGCGATCTTTCAAGGTGATCCTCTTTAGTTCCTCCCACGTCACGGGACCACCTCTAGCTATCTTGCTATAGTTCGAATTAGTCCCTTTTCCTTCTTTTCTTCTACTTCTTTGGATCCTATTTCTCTTTCCTCTTCTCCAGCCTCACATCGAGACAAAATATCCGGTAAATAGTTTTCCCTTCCCCGCCTATAATTCACCTGCACATCAAAACTGCCAACCAGTAATAACCATCTTTGTAAACGAGGAGATAACATCAGCTCCTTATTATCTTTTTTGAAAGATGGACTAAAGGTTTGTGATCTGTGTAGATTATAAATCTGCGTCCAATTAAGTATTCCCGGCACTTGGTCATTCCAAAAATAACTGCCAAGGCCTCTTGTTCGATTACTGAATACCTTGTCACTGCGGCTTTAAAAATTCTCGAGAAAAACAAAATAGGTCTCTCCAGTTCGTCTATGTAATGTAGCAATGCTCCACGCACACCCCTATTTGAAGCATCCACGGACAATATCACTTCCAAATCGTTATTAAAACATACTAAAATGGGTTCTTTTCCGATTCTTCGTTTCAAATTCTCAAAAGCCTCTTCCTGCTCATCTTGCCACATAAATATTTCTCCCTTTTTCAATAATTTATATAATGGTGCTGCAGTTTACCATTCCCAGGAAAGCCTGTACCTCCACTTTATTATTAGGTCACAGCATGCTTGTTATGCTCGCCATATTTTTGTCCAAAGGCCTAACCTCCTTTCCATTGATTTTATGACCCAAATATATAACCTCAACACTCCTAATACACTTTTGTTCTGCGCTTGCCCGCAATCCTTTATCCCTGATTCTTTTGAACATCTCCTCCAATCTTCGTTCATGCTGTTCAGGAGTTTCTCCCATTACTAATACTTCATCCATGTAATAAAATACTCCTTCTAGACCTTGGGAAACAGCTGCCATTGTTCGTTGAAAAATCGGAGCTGACACGCTAAGTCCAAACGGTAATCTACAAAATGTATAGAACCCTCTTAGAGTAGTGATACTTAATAACCTTTGTACCTCAGGTTTTACCGCAGTGGTAAATATGCGTTGGAAAAGTCTACCTTTGAAAAGTACATACCACCCTTCAAATTGGCCAATATTTCTTCAATTCGAGGCAACGGATATTTGACCTCCACCACCCACGGATTTAGCGTGACCCGAAAATCGGCACATAAATGGAGCTTTCCATTGGCCTTCTTCACCGGTACCAAGGGTGTCGCCCATTCGCTATATTCTACAGGACATACTATGCCTTTTTGCACCCATTGATACAATTTCTTATTCACTTCATTTCGCCATTCAAACGATATTCGCCGTAACGCACAAAATTTTGGTACATTTCCCTCCTTTAATTTGATATTCACCTCATAATCTCTTAGATATCCCAAACTTTCTTCAAAGATTTCCTTATAATATCCACCAATCTTCGTACTCCCTCTTGCACTTTTATTATCGCAAATTCCATTTCCTCATTTCAAAATTCCTCGTCTTTTTGCCGTCCTGTCTCTTTCTCCTTTACTACTATTTCTTGATTACATATTCTTTTTGTATTTCCTTGTTTCATACCATCATTTTCCGTCCATTCTTTCTGCAGCTCTGTTTCACCATTTGGAATTTTATCTAGCTTTACTTCTAAATTTTTATTATCATTAATTTCTTCCTTCTTTTCAGCATCCTCTCTTCCCTCTTTTTTCCTAAAGTCACGACAACCCCTAAAACTTCCCCCGATTTCTCTCCTATAATTCCCCCCGATATCTCCCTTATAATTCCCCCCGATATCTCCCCCAGAATTTCCCCCGATTTCGCCCCTAAAATTCCCCCCAATTTCTCCCCTATAATTCCCCTCGATTTCGCCCCTAAAATTCCCCCCGATTTCTCCCCTATAATTCCTCCCGATTTCTCCCCTATAATTCCCCCCGATATCGCTCCTAAAATTCCCCCCGATATCGCCCCTAAAATTCCCCCCGATTTCTCCCCTATAATTCCCCCCCCCTCGATACCTCTCCTAAAATTCCCCCCGATATCTCTCCTATAATTTCCCCCGATATCTCCCCTAAAATTCCCCCCGATATCGCCCCTAAAATTCCCCCCAATTTCTCCCCTATAATTCCCCTCGATTTCGCCCCTAAAATTCCCCCCGATTTCTCCCCTATAATTCCTCCCGATTTCTCCCCTATAATTCCCCCCGATATCGCTCCTAAAATTCCCCCCGATTTCTCCCCTATAATTCCCCCCCCCCCTCGATACCTCTCCTAAAATTCCCCCCGATATCTCTCCTATAATTTCCCCCGATATCTCCCCTAAAATTCCCCCCGATATCTCTCCTATAATTTCCCCCGATATCTCCCCTAAAATTCCCCCCGATATCGCTCCTAAAATTCCCCCCGATTTCTCCCCTATAATTCCCCCCCCCTCGATACCTCTCCTAAAATTCCCCCCGATATCTCTCCTATAATTTCCCCCGATATCTCCCCTAAAATTCCCCCCGATATCTCTCCTATAATTTCCCCCGATATCTCCCCTAAAATTCCCCCCGATATCGCCCCTAAAATTCCCCCCGATTTCTCCCCTATAATTCCCCCCCCCCTCGATACCTCTCCTAAAATTCCCCCCGATATCTCTCCTATAATTTCCCCCGATATCTCCCCTAAAATTCCCCCCGATATCGCCCCTAAAATTCCCCCCAATTTCTCCCCTATAATTCCCCTCGATTTCGCCCCTAAAATTCCCCCCGATTTCTCCCCTATAATTCCTCCCCCCTCGATTTCTCCCCTATAATTCCCCCCGATATCTCCCCTATAATTTCCCCCGATTTCTCCCCTAAAATTCCCCCCGATTTCTCCCCTATAATTCCCCCCGATATCGCTCCTAAAATTCCCCCCGATATCGCCCCTAAAATTCCCCCCGATTTCTCCCCTATAATTCCCCCCCCCCTCGATACCTCTCCTAAAATTCCCCCCGATATCTCTCCTATAATTTCCCCCGATATCTCCCCTAAAATTCCCCCCGATATCGCCCCTAAAATTCCCCCCAATTTCTCCCCTATAATTCCCCCCGATATCGCTCCTAAAATTCCCCCCGATATCGCCCCTAAAATTCCCCCCGATATCTCTCCTATAATTTCCCCCGATATCTCCCCTAAAATTCCCCCCGATATCGCCCCTAAAATTCCCCCCAATTTCTCCCCTATAATTCCCCTCGATTTCGCCCCTAAAATTCCCCCCGATTTCTCCCCTATAATTCCTCCCGATTTCTCCCCTATAATTCCCCCCGATATCGCTCCTAAAATTCCCCCCGATTTCTCCCCTATAATTCCCCCCCCCCTCGATACCTCTCCTAAAATTCCCCCCGATATCTCTCCTATAATTTCCCCCGATATCTCCCCTAAAATTCCCCCCGATATCGCCCCTAAAATTCCCCCCAATTTCTCCCCTATAATTCCCCTCGATTTCGCCCCTAAAATTCCCCCCGATTTCTCCCCTATAATTCCTCCCGATTTCTCCCCTATAATTCCCCCCGATATCGCTCCTAAAATTCCCCCCGATTTCTCCCCTATAATTCCCCCCCCCCTCGATACCTCTCCTAAAATTCCCCCCGATATCTCTCCTATAATTTCCCCCGATATCTCCCCTAAAATTCCCCCCGATATCTCTCCTATAATTTCCCCCGATATCTCCCCTAAAATTCCCCCCGATATCGCCCCTAAAATTCCCCCCGATTTCTCCCCTATAATTCCCCCCCCCCTCGATACCTCTCCTAAAATTCCCCCCGATATCTCTCCTATAATTTCCCCCGATATCTCCCCTAAAATTCCCCCCGATATCGCCCCTAAAATTCCCCCCAATTTCTCCCCTATAATTCCCCTCGATTTCGCCCCTAAAATTCCCCCCGATTTCTCCCCTATAATTCCTCCCGATTTCTCCCCTATAATTCCCCCCGATATCGCCCCTAAAATTCCCCCCGATTTCTCCCCTATAATTCCCCCCCCCCTCGATACCTCTCCTAAAATTCCCCCCGATATCTCTCCTATAATTTCCCCCGATATCTCCCCTAAAATTCCCCCCGATATCTCTCCTATAATTTCCCCCGATATCTCCCCTAAAATTCCCCCCGATATCGCCCCTAAAATTCCCCCCAATTTCTCCCCTATAATTCCCCTCGATTTCGCCCCTAAAATTCCCCCCGATTTCTCCCCTATAATTCCTCCCGATTTCTCCCCTATAATTCCCCCCGATATCGCTCCTAAAATTCCCCCCGATTTCTCCCCTATAATTCCCCCCCCCTCGATACCTCTCCTAAAATTCCCCCCGATATCTCTCCTATAATTTCCCCCGATATCTCCCCTAAAATTCCCCCCGATATCTCTCCTATAATTTCCCCCGATATCTCCCCTAGAATTCCCCCCGATATCTCCTCCAAATCCCCTTTCTCCCCCCAAAAAGGTTTCAATTCCAGGCAATTTATCCCTATACCAATAATTCATATATTGATTCTCCTCATCCCTTTCAATATAAAAATACACCGCACCAAGCGAATATACCCCAAAAATTACAATCTGGACCTATTCGCGTTATCCAGTCCCATCCTAATACGGCATCTACTATTCGATCAATTATCCATAAATCCAATATCTCCACTCTATTGTCCAACATCACTTTTAATTCTACTCTTCCCATCATGGCTACTTCTGATCCATCCAACTGCCGGATCTTGATGTCTTCGCTTTTGATCATTCCCTCCGACCAAATACTCCGAAATTTCTCATATCCCATCACAGAGATAGCTGCCCTGGTGTCAAATAACATGCATACCATATTCCCATTCAAATTAATCCATACTCTAGTGCAAGGATTATGCACTATTTCCTCTCGTATCATATTTATACATTTCGACTTCTCCCTTTTATCCCTATAATTAAATTTTTCCATTTCTTTGAACCACCGCTTCTCGACCTCTGTGGTATATCTTTTGCTATCATATAGTCACCAATACTGACATTCTCTCGCCACATGTCCTTCGCTGCGGCATCGAAAACATATATTATTCAAACTTTTATTTTCCGTTAAATTAGATATTTCTATATCCTTATTTTTCCCGTTTTCAAGAATTTTCACATTTGGAGCAATTTGAGCTATATCTTTCTGTGGAAAACCGCCCCTTGTATTGAAATTGGCAATATTGCATTCCTCCCTATTGTGACTAAATCGCCCACAACCCGCACAACGTAATTTATCACGTTTTCCCGGGCAATAAGGAGCTATATGTCCATATTTTCCACATTCGAAACATTTCGTTTCTTGGCAATCTCTTACCATATGGCCCCGTTTTCCACAATCAATTTAGATTTTCTCTCCCTCGTGGATTAAAACTTGGCCTTACTTCCATTCGCCTTCCCTGCGAATTTTCGACAGCGGTTACTTGCTTCAACTTTATTTGCACTAGCGCTTTTTTCGCTTTACTAATTTTTGTAAATTTCACAGCGGTTATTAACTTCAATTTTATTTATACTAGCGCTTTTTTCGCTTTACTAATAAATTTAACAGCGATTATTCACTTCTATTTTATTTGTATAACGCTTTCTTTTGCTTTAACAATATTTAGAAATTTCCCAACGATTTATCGTTTAAATTTTATTTGTACTAGCGCTTTTTTCGCTTTAACAATATTTGGAAATTTCCCAACGATATACCGTTTTAACTTATTTGTACTAGCGCTTTGTTTCGCTTTGATAATATTTGGAAATTTATCAACGACTTATCGTTTTATCTTATTTGTACTAGCGCTTTTTCCGCTTTGACAATACTTGGAAATTTATCAAAGATTTACCGTTTCAACTTATTTATACTAGCGCTTTTTTCGCTTTGACAATACTTGGAAATTTATCAACGATCTACCGTTTCAACTTATTTGTACTAACGCTTTTTTCGCTTTGACAATACTTGGAAATTTATCAACGATTTATCGTTTAAATTTTATTTGTACTAGCGCTTTTTTCGCTTTAACAATATTTGGAAATTTCCCAACGATATACCGTTTCAACTTATTTGTACTAGCGCTTTTTTCGCTTTGACAATACTTGGAAATTTATCAACGATTTACCGTTTCAACTTATTTGTACTAGCGCTTTTTTCGATTGACAATACTTGAAAATTTATCAACGATTTATCGTTTTAACTTATTTGTACTAGCGCTTTTTTTGCTTTATCAATATATGTAAATCTCCCCGCGATTAATCTCTAGGTTCTGGTGTTCATTCAACATGGCACCAATTTCTTATTTCATTTTCTTTTTCAATTTCTTGGTTCTTATTTTTCTTACCACTTTTTGAATATAATTTTCTTTATTATTAACAGGAAGAATATAATTTTTTAAAAAAATATATAATAATAATAATCTATTCTTTCAGGGTTTTTATAACCCAACATAAAAATATAAAAAAATAATAATGACAAAATTATAATATTGATAAAAAACAAATAATATTGATTTTAAAAAAAATATTAAAAAAAACAAATAAATTTACCGAAAGCATGTTTATCACAAAAACAAAATGAAAAAAAAAATACAAACAAAAAAAATTATTATAAATGAAAAAAACTGAAAATGAAACCGATAGCTCCTGGATGATATTAAACATGGAATGAGATATTTATGACCCAAGTATTTTAAAGTTAAAATAATATATAATCTTTATAGATAGCTTCCTAGATGATATTATACATGGAATGAGATATTTAAGACACAAGTATTTTAAAGTTAAAATAATATATAATCTTTATAGATAGATGATCATGATTCTGGTACGCCCCAAGCAAAGTCCTCAATAAAATAGGACTAGCAAACTTTACAGTCATTTCGCAAAACATTCAATGGGTCTCCCACATCGACAATCCAGTCGACGATCCGTCGAGAACTTGGATCGGAAATAGGTCCGTGTCATCGCTTTGCTTATTTTATAAATAATTATATACATTTTTATATATGAAACGTCAATCAACAGTTTTAGATATTGTTGATTGGTGAAAAAAAGAAAATATTATTATTCAAAAACTAAATGCCAATCATTTATTATTTTTGATTTTAATAATTTTCATTATCGAAATTCTGGATGAAAAAATCAATTTTGAAATTTGATTATTCTTTTTAAAAATATTATATTATTCTTGTAAAATATATTATTCCAAAAATTCTTAAATACTATTGAATAAAAAAATATCCATTCAAATTAATGTTAAATATTTGTAGAATTTTATTGAATAAAATTAATAAAAAATAAAATACATTTTAAAAATTTTTTTGGTGTCTTTATAATTATAAGTTGAAGAATCCATTGCATTTAAGAAGTTAAAATAATTATAGTATAAAGAGTAAGAACTGTTAAGGTAAGAACTTTGTTAGTCCGCTTTCACGCTTTATGATCTGCAACTAACCTCGAATAACTTCAACGAAACCAGCGATATAAATAACATTAATGACCAAGCCAACTAAGAGATATCCCTCTTCGGATCCAAAACAATAATCAGCCCCTCCCTGATCTCGGGCCTGTCCATAGAAATAACAACAACCTGACGATTGGATGAAGTCTCAATCAATTCCACATATCTCCTATGAAATACCTAAGGATACTCAAGAAAAATTCCAACAACAATTACTAATTAGAACACAACAACCCCGCGCTTATAATAAAAATATATCGCGACTATAACAAATTACCTTCATTGTTGTTACCTTTTTTGATTTATATATTACTATTCGCACATATTATTATTCACCATTCCTTCACTATTATATTATATAAAAAATCTTCGGCGTAGATTAAAATATAGTGACAAGTACAAAATTTTTCTAGATAGCTACTTGTAATTCAAAATTAATATTTTTTTAAAATGTTAAGATCTATCAAGAACAAAGGGATATAATTTAATAAGAGAAAGATAATAGCCTTTCAAGCTCTCGCAAATCGTAAATATTTAATAGTACATTCATATTTCCTGAGGTAAAAATTTGACCTAGAAACATAAGTGTCCTAGTTTGTAAGATATTTTTGTTTATATGAATATTTTTTATTAAATGTCAATCATTTTTGTGATAAAATTTTTATCGTTTTTTTAATATGAATTCATTATTCGTTTTTTCATAAATGAATTAATCATTATTTTTTCTTATGGATTTTTCTCAAAAATACTTTTCTTTAAAATAGCATCATTATGAATTTTGTGATTAAAAATGATAATTATTTTTTTTTATACGTTTTTACTTTGAATTTTAAAAAATAAAAGGATTAATTTATACCAGCGTTTTCTTATATATTGTGATATATATTTTTTGAATATTTTTAGTATTAGATTTGGAAGGTTAGTTTTGTATTTAGTTGTTAATTTAGATTTTTCGAAATTAAGTTTAGTAGATTTCTTTTTCTTCTTTGTCTTTTGATTTTGTCAGCTTTTTGTTAATAAGCTCATAAAAAAATTTATAATCACTAAATAATGGCAAAAATAGGATGTTTGTCGCTGCTTTAGATTTTGTTTTGGTGTTCCGTTATTTTTTTTGTTATTAACTTTTGCATAATTTCGGCTTTTAAACCTTTTAAAGCACTTGCTATCAACGGAGCACTAAAAATGATATAAGTTTCATCTTTAATGCATCCATAATGTCAGGTCTAAATTTGACCTTGGAACATTTATTATTAATAACTCACTTTCCTTTAATTTATTAGTAATTCCAATTGTTCGGCTAACATGGAGCTGGAGATAAGAGGCTTTTCATTGCCTTCAAAAATAGTTGGAAAATTTTCCAATTGGTATAATTTTGTTATGCAATATATGAAGTCTTTTTCTGATAATTTTTAGAATATAAAATATTGTGTTCTATGTCACAAATTTAATATTTGTCATTAGTTAGAAAAATGATAGCATGACTTTTACTAACTCTTAAATAGCGCCTTCTTTGTTTTTATTGCTAATGATGGGTTATGAAATGATATAATTATATATATATATAAATTCTGTGACGAAATGTGAAATTTGCAATTCAACCTGGTCTCCTCTATTTGATAAAAATTATTTTACTGAGGTTTTAATGCCTAAAAAGATAATCTTTGGATTAAGATCTTCAAAGTGATTTGGATAAGGAACTCGGTTACGGTTAAATATACCGATATCCGGTTTGGAGATTATTAATGCACATATTGAATACTGAATAATTGCCAAGTTTAACATGATCTTTTTTATTTTCGGTTTTGGCAAAGTGCCAGAATTATTTTATTTTGCTCATAAATCACGAACGGTTTATTCCGCTGCTGCCCGGATAGAAGATCAATTAACGGGCTACACAATGGTATAGGTTTCGGTAATTGATCCTCAAATTGTTCCGCCAGCTTTAAAATTTCTCACTTTCCTTATTTTGCTTATAACTCATTAACCTTTGATTTCGCTGATGTCTGGTTTGAAGATCAATTAGTATCACTTAACACTCTAAATATTG